TAAATATGAAAATATTTTAATAAAAATAAATTTTTTTTTTGAGTGCCCGGATATTTTCTTCAGGGGAGTGTATATACACATTACATAAAGCAGTTACATACCTTTTTTTAATCCTATTTCCTTCGTGTTATTATTGTGATATAGTAATCATCAAGAAAAATATATTGTTTTTCTGATTCCGAAGACTGGCGAAAGGCTGGCGTGTGTAAGATAAAGGCATTATGGCATTTGTATAATTTTTCTATAAAATATAGTCCGTTATTTTTTGTTATTTTTTGGGAAGAGTTGTCTGGTACACTTATCCAATTTTGTACACGATCAGTTTCGTTATTGTTTAAAACATTTCCTTTGACAGCTTACTCTTTACATCTTGCCGATTAATAAGGAGCTTCTATAATAGAAAATAGAATAGTTGATCAACCGAATAAATCTTAAATGAGATATTTTATGCTAGAAAATAATGTAATACCTCCAAGAGAGCACCAAATTTTGCAATATCAAATAAATTCCATTCTTCAGAATAAGATGTAGGTATTCTAAAACTAAATACCTCGTAAATTCTGTATGTTTTAATACGGATAATATCTGTTACATATACCGAAACATTATATTCTAAAAAAAGACAAAACTTAGCTAGCCAGTATGTAAATAAAAGAATACATCATGTGTACAAAAAAATACTTACTGTATCCATGAATACTCACGGATTTAAAGGTCTTTGCAGTGGCAGTAGTACAATTGGCATATCGTGTGAAATAGTAATTCAAATCATCAACACTATTACGTGCAAGCTTAGAAAAATCTCCAAGATAATGTGAAAATGTGTATTCTTTTGGGCTATAAGATTGTTCGTATATAATAGTTGCTGACTTGTCTTGATATATAACTGCATCGTTCTTAGGGACACATCCACTATTAGATGGCTTTTGATCATAGTTGATATTGTATGTCCTATCATTATGGGCCTCATTATCAATTTCGCCACTATAACCAATAAAAACATAAAATTGTAAAAGATATCATTAAAAAGAAAGGGGAAAATGCATATAATACATACAATTCTTTTCCTGATACAATTTTGCTAAAAAAAACCGAAAATAAGTCTAGTAGTCGGTAAATAGTTTGAGTAGACCATGTTTTTTCATTACAATCATCTTGCAAACCGCCATAATGGTAGTATAGAATGAAATGACGGGAAACTTCTCTTGTCCATAACAATAATGGACTTGGATTATCAATAAGCGGTTGATCCAACCTGCCCAACGCATTTTTAATATCACTATCAAGTATTCTCTCAAGATATTGCTTAACATCGTCAGGAAGACTTGCTGTTATATTGATACCACAAGCTATTTGACTGTATAGCTCCTCAGCTTCTAACATTGAAAGCTTAATAAAAGGCTTAATGAGTGGGTAAATCTGTCGACTCCTTAAATCTAAAAAAATTTCATTTTCAGTATTGATTTTTTTCCCGCCCTTAACCTAAATAACAACGATGTTAAAAAAAAATATGATATAAGTAAACTTGGCAGTATTTTAAAAAAATTAACATACAGTATTAGTATATGTCGGTACTTTGTTAGCAGGTTTTTGGCTATCAGCTCTTGTTTTGCTCTGTGATTAATGCAAAAGAAAAAGAACAGCGTGCTTAATACCCCCTAAAAATTATAATAACTCATGCTTAGTAGTAAATCTGTTTTTCATACCTGGTTGAGTTTTTCATTGTTAGTAATAGGTTGAAATTTTCCAAGATCAGCCTCAAGTTGTTCGTCGAGATCTTGTGGTTGAGAATAGATCCGACCTTCAGGGTCCGAGATCGAACGATTCCGCGAGAAATAGTTCCGAATATCTGGTCCTTCCATTGAACTTTCACTAGAAAACGCCTTCTGAAATTTGAAAATCAAATGTTCATAAATAAATCATGATATCGCATTTTATAGATTGCGATGATCTCACCTTATTTAATCGAGGTGAGGCTCTTTCCATTTCTTCTCTATCTCGTTTTCCCGAAGTTATACGACAATTGTCGAAATTTTGTGTTGAATCTCCGGTGAGATTGTTGACCTGACTTATAGAACTTATAGTCCTTACCTAATTGACAAAAATCATAAATTTATCCTTTATCATATAAACTTCAGACTATAAGAACCTACCCGCATATTCATGCGAGTGCTGTCCTTTCTTATAAAGGCGCTGTACGATCCAGTCCATTCCTTGAAAAACAAGATTTCAAATCATTATACTTGCGAGAAAAATTTCGTAACCAAATGTATTTATACCAGGAAAAAGACTAGCTCTTAATTCGTCGAATCCAATGAATTACCTTCCATTTATTTATAATTTATTTCGATTTTCTCTACGGCTCGCATCGAACTCAGAATCAGAACTTGTTATCCTTACGAGATCCTTTTTAATCCAGTCCAATACTATCTTCCAATCTTTCTGTTCCATTTTTTTTACGATAATACTTCACCAAATTATCACACGTCCATTCTTCGACCTCAGTAACATGATAAAAGAACAATAAAGCGTTAATTGGATGTGCCATTCTTAAATGGAGTTAAAAAAATTTTCATCGTCAAACCATACAGGCCATTTATATATGGGAGGTTCTAAGCCACCAGGATTTGTAATCGGTTTAGCGTCACCGGAACACGTGACTGGGCATGTCGATTTTATGTAACAGTTTTCCAATTCATTGCTTGCAAACTTATACTAACGTCATGTCTGAACAGCAAGCAAGCTGGGACTCTTAGTCCCCAGTGATGAACTCTTTGTTCGGCAGGCTGGGACTCTTCGTCTAACAAGGATGCTTTTACGGCAGTGTGACGTTAGCGCAAGCTGGACTCTTAGTCTACAGCTTAGCAAAAGCTGGACTCTTAGTCTACAACTTTTCCGATTAAATTTTTCCGACGTACAAAAAAAAAATAAAAACGTGGCAAACAATGAAAATATTGGCATTTTATTTATTTAATGTATTGTTAAACTTTATTAGAGAAGCAAAATAATAATGATGCTTATCAAAGAGGGAGGGAATACGCGGATCCTAGGCCATTTAATGTGAGTCCCAACGTCAAGTCATTTCTTTGCTCTCTCATATTTACGAAAAATATCTATAACTAATTTATTTCTATTGCTAATATTTCTAACTACGAGATTCTCATCTCTATACTCTTCTACACTAGAGTTTTGAAATAAATTATCCCACCCATATTTACAGAATTTTTGTCTATCTATATCTCTCTCAAACACACAGATTATATTCCCCGCAATGAAACTTCTTTGAAATTAAGTAATTTCGAATCTACGGCATAAATTTGGGAGATTAGCAACTGAGGTAAAAAAAAAATGTTTCCGATTCACACTTACTATTAATTTTCGCAACATCCATTCCGCCTGAAATTTATTACTTAATGCATTACAATAGGTAATTCGATTTTTTATTGCCGGTACAATACTGCGCCAAATACCACACGTTATTATTGTAGTCACACTGCGCCAAATTTTGTTGAGAAGCGTGATGTTAAGGCATGTGACGAGATTTATGTGAATAGTTATTGTACGCGTGATGATTGTCAAAGATTTTCTTGGCGAAGATCAAAACGATGATTTATAACAAGAAGAGTAATATGAGGCCTTTGCAATAGAAAGGGAGGAAACTCAAAAAAAAATAAAAAATGAGTTAATAATAAATCTGAACAA